GGTGCTGCGTTATGAAAGGACTTCCGCTCAATTCAGAGGTGAGAATCACATAAAGGGAGTGATAAAAAGCACCTGACAACACTCAGCAATCAGGTTTCTCATCGACAGGAAGTCTGCTTTGCTGCCCTCGCTCATTCAGTTCCTGCTTGTTGAACTGCGATCGCTTTAGCTGCCAAAACAAATCCAGAACCCTGTTTGACAGCAACTCGATCACACGAATAGGATGCTGACGAGGTTTATGTTTCATTTGCACATATGCTCAGACACATACATTAAAATTCAACAGCCTGAACGTTTATAAGACCTTTCTGACCCAGTTAGTAATAATCTATGAGGTTCACGAGGTGCAGGTGATACTAAAACTATACAAGTAGCTTCAAAAGAGCTGATTTTTCAGCTATGAATCAAAATTCTAGTCAGGATTGTAAAATAGTTAATAAATTCAATCACCTACAAAAGTTTTCTCTCAGGAGCAGCAGCTAAATAGGAAAACCAAAATCCCAATCACCATTTTAAAATAGATCATTTCTATTCCTACCAATGATCATGTTCTCCACGAGTTAAGAAATTAATCAGGTGTGGAAATGACAAACTCAAGTCGATTTGGCATTCTGTCGTCCGTGTGCGTGTCTGCAGTAAGCCGTGTGAATCACAAACAAGCAAATTCCCAAAATATCCAAAAATCTATGCAAGTGGAAAAATGACATTAAATGGAAACAACATCATCAGAGCATCAGGAATCATAAACACCTGCAAAAATAAGATGTTTTTGTTGTTTCTGACTGAGACGGTGACGCATTGGTTAAGGAGCATGCTCGCACCCACAGATGGCCTCGGTTTTATTTTAGTGGAGAAATGAATACAGCTGGGAGAAACTGCCGTTGCCAAATGTTACCGTCCAGCTCTCCTGAGGACTGCTGATGCCTCACAGCTAAACCAAAATGAAAAGTGTTGATGATTTACTTCAGTTTTCAAAAACAAAAGAACTAAAATGAACATTAACAATGTCAAGGTTGAATCTAGGGCCAAGAACTGAATCTGAAATATTCCTAGCAGTGGTCCTGATAAAATATTGCAAGAATGATCATTGTAAAACTCAGTTTCAATCAGCTTTAGATTTGTACTAACAAGTAAAATGGGGCAGATCGGGCTTTTAAACAAGGTGGGTTGTGATGAATTTCATTCAATTTTGTCCCTGGATAATGCCATGCTGTTGTTAAGCTTGAATAGTTTCTGTTAAAAGAGTTTGTCTTTGTGCCATCAACCTAGTTTTCCTACAAAAGATGCACACATAATGACATTAAATCATCTTTTTCATATAAATGATTGAAGTAATTTATGGTTTTGTGTGCTTAAAGCTCATGTTGCAGTTTGTCACGCTCCCATCTCAGATCCAGCTTATGTGTCCTTGTTCCCATCAAACACATTTTAAATGATAACTGATCTAATGTACTTTAGTCGTGTCAAACTATTTTCTTGTCTTCCTAGTAGATCTGAACTCTTATCAGAAGTTCAATAGCCCATAATACTTTTATAGCAAATTAGCTTAAAACACTTTTTATTCCTCTTAACAACATTCTAACATAGCATTGCTATAAAAATTTTGTGGAAATATAAAAAAAAATATTAGAATTAAGTGGTTCTCTCGCATTTGTCTAAAAGCCTCCGCCAATAACACATTTTGGACTGAACACAACTATTGGACTACCCGGTCTTGCCAAACTGCCGCACTTCCCTGGGTCCTCCACTCATCACACATTCAGCAACAGAACACCACAGGTGTGAGAGGTTCTCCGCTCAATATCTGAGAAAGAGAAACAGCCGGCTGCTACCACTTTAACTTTGACAAACTACCAGAGTCTCAAAAGAAAAAACGCTGAAGTCACAGATAACAAATGTTAAACGGCCTGTATTTGATATAGCGCCTTCTAAAGTCCTGGAACCCCCAAGGTGCTTTACAACACATTCAATCAATCAATCAACCAACCAACCAAAGCTTTATTTACAGTGGGGCAAAAAAGTATTTAGTCAGCCACCGATTGTGCAAGTTCTCCCACTTAAAATGATGACAGAGGTCAGTAATTTACATCATAGGTACACTTCAACTGTGAGAGACAGAGTGTGAAAAAAAATCCATGAATTCACATGGCAGGATTTTTAAATAATTTATTTGTAAATCAGGGTGGAAAATAAGTATTTGGTCACTTCAAACAAGGAAAATCTCTGGCTCTCACAGACCTGTAACGTCTTCTTTAAGAAGCTTTTCTGTCCTCCACTCGTTACCTGTATTAATGGCACCTGTTTGAACTCATTATCTGTATAAAAGACACCTGTCCACAGCCTCAAACAGTCAGACTCCAAACTCCACTATGGCCAAGACCAAAGAGCTTTCGAAGGACACCAGGAAAAGAATTGTAGACCTGCACCAGACTGGGAAGAGTGAATCTACAATAGGCAAGCAGCTTGGTGTGAAAAAATCAACTGTGGGAGCAATTATCAGAAAATGGAAGACATACAAGACCACTGATAATCTCCCTCGATCTGGGGCTCCACGCAAGATCTCATCCCATGGGGTCAAAATGATCATGAGAACAGTGAGCAAGAATCCCAGAACCACAAGGGGGGACCTGGTGAATGACCTGCAGAGAGCTGGGACCACAGTAACAAAGGTCACCATCAGTAACACACTACAACGGCAGGGAATCAAATCCTGCAGTGCCAGACGTGTTCCGCTGCTGAAGCCAGTGCATGTCCAGGCCCGTCTGAAGTTTGCCAGAGAGCACATGGATGATACAGCAGAGGATTGGGAGAATGTCATGTGGTCAGATGAAACCAAAGTAGAACTTTTTGGTATAAATTCAACTCGTCGTGTTTGGAGGAAGAAGAATACTGAGTTGCATCCCAAGAACACCATACCTACTGTGAAGCATGGGGGTGGGAACATCATGCTTTGGGGCTGTTTTTCTGCTGAGGGGTCAGGACGACTGATCCGTGTTAAGGACAGAATGAATGGGGCCATGTATCGTGAGATTCTGAGCCAAAACCTCCTTCCATCAGTGAGAGCTTTGAAGATGAAACGTGGCTGGGTCTTCCAACACGACAATGATCCCAAACACACCACCCAGGCAACAAAGGAGTGGCTCCGTAAGAAGCATTTGAAAGTCCTGGAGTGGCCTAGCCAGTCTCCAGACCTCAACCCCATAGAAAATCTGTGGAGGGAGTGGAAAGTCCGTGTTGCTCGGCGACGGCCCCTAAACATCACTGCTCTCGAGAAGATCTGCATGGAGGAATGGGCCAAAATACCAGCTACTGTGTGTGCAAACTTGGTAAAGACCTATAGTAATTGTTTGACCTCTGTTATTGCCAACAAAGGTTATGTTACAAAGTATTGAGTTGAATTTTTGTTATTGACCACATACTTATTTTCCACCCTGATTTACAAATAAATTCTTTAAAAATCCTGCCATGTGAATTCATGGATTTTGTTTTCACATTCTGTCTCTCACAGTTGAAGTGTACCTATGATGTAAATTACTGACCTCTGTCATCATTTTAAGTGGGAGAACTTGCACAATCGGTGGCTGACTAAATACTTTTTTGCCCCACTGTATATATAGCGCCTTCCACAACCCTTTTCGGGCACCCAATGCGCTAGAACACATTGTAAAAACACATATAGTCATAAAAAGAGAAGTTAAAACATAGAACATAAAATGCAGAGCATTAGGCAAAGGGATAAAACAATGAATAAAAGCAGATCAGATTCACACACACATTCACACCCTGGAGGTGATGGTGACACTGTAGCCACAGCTGCTCAAGGGCACACTGACATTGGCGAGTCTGCCCGCACAGGTGCCACCGGTCCCTACGAACACCACCAGCAAGCAAGATGGGTTAAGTGTCTTGGTCAAGGACACAACAACAGTGACAGTCTGAGCGGGGCTCAAACCTGCAACCTTCCGATATACAAGATATGTTTGGACCTAGAACAACGGCGACTAGTGTTTAGCGCTTTTTCGTTTCCTCCAACATCGGTGTTTCTGGTTCTGGCAGAAGTGTCTCAGGGACAATACCTGAGGGAAGAGGTGAGTGTTCAAAACCTTGTTCTGTAGATTCGCTATAGCAGCTTTAATTCCAGCAAAAAATCCGTGTAATATGAGTCATACCAATTTTTTTGTATAAAGGTGTAAATTCTGATTATTTTTAATGAAATTCTTCGACGAGCAACAGAGAAACTATGGGACAGGTGTATTACCTGGCCCATCTAAGTGAAGAGTTAGTCAGAGAAACAATCCTAAGCTGTGATACTATTAAAATTTCACTTCTAGTAAATGCTCAATTCATCTCTGTGAGCCCACCTCCTTCTGATCAGAGTGGTTCTTTCCACTACCCAGAGTTGGTGCAATAGTTGTGTGGGAACAGAAGGGAGCTAAACAAGCTAAAAAGACATGCTGAAGGTGTTTAATGAAAATACATATGCCATGCTAGATAAAGGTATAGTAAGACATCACATAGGGCTTTGGCCTTAAGCTGAGGCTATAAAAATAGACTGAGACTGCATTGATGGTATGTAAATGTATTCATATGTGTGCGCAGAAGGACCTGTGGACCCTGTGGACCATCACAGAGGAAGGAATGCAGAATAGCATTACTGTCACAGATAAAAATGATTTTGTGCTGTTCTGAAACCAGGTGAATCAGAATTTCTATCAAGGACGCTTCCGCTGTAACACAAGCAGCCAGGAGCCTGATTTAGTGTGGAGAGACCCCGTGTTTATGAGCAACCATCTAGGAGTGGGCAGTTGTGCGAGAACAGTTTTCTCTCCAATGACAGAGGCTAAGAATGCTACAGGTGGTGACGAATGGCCTCTAGTAGTAACAAGCTGTCTGATTCTTATGTAGAAGTGCAACAAATACCTGTGCCTGACATTCAACCTGTGGCGACGGAGTTGCAGGTTTGACAAATGACAGGTTGTCAAAAACAGATGAAGGCTTACCCCACACGGCTGGAAGATAAGTCCATCGACTTCGTGACTCACTTGGGATGTGAAGCTGCCTTCCAGGAGCTGAAAGAGAGAGAGGCGTGTTTTCAGTGAAAGAAACCTGATAAATTGATCGCTGAAAGCCTCGACTGAGAACAGATGAAATTACAATGATTTATAAAGTCAACTCCAGCCAGAGGGCAACAACGTAGCACAGAAAGCTGAAGAAGCATTGAGTTTTAACAAAACTGAAAGGAGTCCACTTAGCAAAATCCTGTGAATTTAAACACAAACTCAATAAGTGTCTAATCCAACAAGCTTAGAAACTAAGGGCTTATCTTCTGACCAGACACATGACTCGGGAATTACAATCTGTAAATCGACTGAGCAGGTTGAGAAGACAGAAATAGCAGCAAATCATTACATTTGTGATGACTGGATGGGGCTGATTTTCTTCTCTTCCATTAACACCAACCAGCAGTGGTGAGTCAGAGAGAAGGAGAACACAACAGCCTACCAGACAAGGGATGCCCAGGGGATACAGCACAGCTACTGTACAGGAATAGAGCTCTTTCTTTAAAACGACACACAGCAACTTCCAACGCAGTTTGTATTTTAGACGTTTGAGGCTGATGCTCAAAGTTGCATAAAGAAGCTGGTGAGAAAACTCTCAAATGGGCCCAACGATGCTCCAAGGTAAACCTAAGGGCATCTAATCAGTATTCACAGTCCACCAAATATAAGGAAAATGCTATCCACTACAATGATTTTATATTTTTAGATTTAAATAAAAAAAGCTTTCTGATAAACACCGCCTGCTCACAACAATAAACGCTAGACGCCTTCAGGATGCATTTTTCTATAAGGTGAACGTCAAAGTTTGAACTGGTGCTCCGTGGAGGCTGATAAGCAGGAATAGGAGGTAAAGACACAGGATTCCTCCAGGGTGTTTGGACTGCAATGCACCACAAGCCAACAATGATCGGATCTGGCGCATCACATACACTTAATATTCATTGCTTGTAGCTTTACAACAACAAAGGATAATTTTACCACCATAAAATGGCTGAAACCCGTCCCCTCATTGGCTTATTGACTAGATGGCCGACCTACAGTCTGCGCCCAAACCTGGAAGGCATCAGGCTTTGAAGGACAAAAAAAAAAGACTACTTTGGGAACATTTTAAGGCAGTAAAACAACACAGTCTTTTATGTGATGCTGTTATGTTTATGTTGCACAGCCTGAAAGAACATCAATCTGTCGCAGGCGTATTTCCATACTGATGCGGCATAAAGGCAAACATGCTGCCTGGAAAGCAAGAAATCAATACTCAACCCATCATATACCACAGACAACGCCTGCATGCAATGCTATGCTAAACCGCCGAACCTCAACATCGTCGCAACGCTGCAAGAGATAGACTTTGAGAGATTTGTGAGTCACATCATCTGTAAAATAAGAACTCAAGAGAAAAACTCTAAGAATATTAGAATAATAAAAAAAACTATCACATAGGAATGAATTCCCAGAAAACGTAGTAAATCCCTGAGTTTTGCAGAATACTTGTTTTAACTATTGAAACAACTCTGTGTCAATATTGTATTTCATAAAAGATTCAACTGAAGGTTTCCCTTAAAGCTGACTCAAACGAGTCACAAAGTTTTAAATAGAGTCTGTATTAATGCAGGATTTCACAGAAGAGCTTTAATGCATGTTGATGCACTGGGTTCACATTTTTAGCCATGCAGGAAACATTTTCGTCAATAATAAATAAATAAATAAAAAATAAAAATAGAGTGAATGCATTAGTGCACTGCAGTGCGGATCAGGTATCAGACCAAAGTCATGGCAGAAAGGAAAGCGTATTAGAAATATGGGCGCAACAACGCTGTATGAGCCACTCGGTGAAACAAGTCAAACCTTAGCAGAACATTCATTACAATGCAGCAAATCACGGCTGGAGCCTGAGATGAGATAAACCCTTAACAAGTCACTAATTTACAGGCGAGTGAAAAAAACAAAAACAGACTAATATTCAATTACTGCCAATTTAGAATAGCCAATTAACCTGACTTGTATGTTATTGGATTTCATGTGGAGCACAAGAACATGCTGCAGGTTACAGCTTTTTCTATGGAGGGAAAGGTTTGGGTTAAAGACGGAGAAACATATTCAAACGGTTGGATTTAAACAAAATTTTTCAAGATTAACTTGAGGAATAAAATACTAAAGAATTATTAAACTCTTGAGATCTCAAAACAAAATGCACTAAAATTGGGCAAGTGCATGGACGGTCTTCATCTTCACCACAAGGTGAGGGTACACAGTATTCAGTGGGAGGATCTGTTGCAGCTGATCGATGTAAACTCTAACCAATTTACAATCAACCACAGAATCTCACGAGGTCTTCCTGTTTTGACATTTCAATAAAAGAGATGTAGACATTAAAGAGGCTGTTGACGAGATGATGGTAAAGTGTTCTGAACATAGGAAGACTGCTGATAGTCATAAAATACCTCAACACTACTTGAAATTTTACACATTTTGACACCTTTCAACCAATAACCTATTCGCTTTTATATTGAGATTTCCTGTGGAATGAAACTAATACATTTGTATTTGGGGGTTTTCGTAAGCTGGAAGCCATAATCATCACTTTATAAAAAGAAAAAGCTTCAAATATCTCGTTTTGCATTTAATGAGTCAATCTCACATCTTAGTTTCATCTTTCACATTGGATTAAAGGAATAAGTTAGCTTTTGCACAATATTCTAAAATTTTCACCTGTCGTGCCGTGTGAGAAGGCAGAATCTGATTTTGCATCAAAACGAACTAAAGTAAGCTTAAATTTGAAAAATAAAAAATAAAATACATTAATAAGCACAACAAAAACTTACTGTTAGTAAACCACCCCCTTTTGTAGGGGTCAGCTGATACTGGCTTTTTTGTTGTCGATACGTAGAGGTCATGGTCAGTCGATGGCCGACTTATGCTGCCGATACTTCAGGCCAATTTTCATAGCTGATATCTAGATGTTTTCCACTTTATTTTCATGCTAAAGGTCACTAATAATGTCAGTTGATGCACAAAAGTTCTGAAGCTGAATCCGTTTTTGAAATTGGAAGTTAACAAACTGTTAAATCTTAATTTTGTGCACTGCTCAGTGTTAAAGTCAGACATCTAACTTAAGTTTATTAAACAAGTAATAAATATTCAAAACTGGTATAGTGCCTTTATTATGCAGGGGATCCTGGGGATGTGCCTGACTTTAAATCAGATTAAGTAAGGAAAAAGTTACAAATATCATCCGGGCAATAAATCGGTCTACCTCTAGTAGGGTGGCTGTGTCTATCTCCAGCAGTCAATGGGCGAGAGGTGGGGGACATCCCGGACAAGTCACCAGTCCATTACAGGAACACACAAACCTTTGAATGCCCATGCATGAGGAGAACATGCTTTCTTTACACAGAAAGGCAGTAGCTGGGATTTGAACCTGCAACCTTCCCACTGCGAGGCTATAATTCCACCAACTGAACCACCATGCAGCCCCATGTTGGTTAACCATGCGTCAGAAACTGCACAACCTTCATGAAAAGTTAAACATTTCAGTTTTATATTCACCCTTTCGCTCCAAACAGGTTGTGTCTCCCATTTGAATGAGCTTTCCTTCTTATTAAGGATTTCAAAAACCAGTCTGCACAAATATTTTAAAGCCTTCTTTGTAAATGACTGCCATCAGTCCTGGGGCTGTGTCACAGTGTAGCACTGGCAGACAGCGAATCACATCCTCTGCATTTTGATTCTAAAAGATGAGCGATAAAAACAGAATCCAGGCCAAATGAAAAAGGTCTGTTTATGATTTGTATGTTTCTTTTACAGTGATGAGCTTTGCTAGTTAAGGTCATTTTTTGTGATTGCTAATTTTTGAACCCTGAAACAGAAATGCCCAAATCTGGATTTCACTTCTGCTTTTTATACTGAAACAGGAACTGCGCTGAGCTTTTTGCAGACTCCTGAGGATGGTGACTTTTCCGCTTCAAAGCACACGGCTCAAAGAAAAATACAGTCAATCTGCTGTACCGGTGGATAAGTTCACATTTCCACCAAACGCTTGTTGCTAAACACAGCTATTTTTCAGATGATGTGCTCCAGGAAAGCAAATAAAGTCATTAGCCTTTAGAAGAGCAGAGAATACATCAAACTAAAAGCTATAAAGAAAAAAAATCTTTATTCCCTGCTGTATCGGCAAAGAGAGCAGAACAACATTAGTACTCTCCAGAATGATGAATGAGTCACAGCAGATCACACAAAGCTTGACAACCACGGTGACATAGAGAAGGCAGATAGCCAGACTGAAAAGAAACGATGCCTTTATGATGGAGCGGCGTGTAGGCGGTAAGATCTGGGAGTTCCATTTCAGTTCTGCTGCCATCTTAGCACACCCACCCACCATCTTCAGTGAGCACTGTGAACCTTGGATGGAGAGATGAGCAGAAAGATGATTTCCACTCACACATCCTACAGGGAGGAAGTTCCTTGGAGTGAAAATGCAAAGGGGGGGCAGAGACCCTGCTTTCATGGTAAAGCTGTCTGGGAAAGAAAACACAAAGCCGAGCCTGTTACAGTAAGGACACGTAGGCGGAGGTGAGCAGCAAATCCCCATTAGGAGATCAAGGCTTTTATTGTGTTCTCCAGGGTAGAAATGGGACAGTAGAAGCATTTGGGGAAACACATTAACTCCTGACTCGCTAAGCAGACTTCTCCCTCGAGAAACAGAGTGATAAAAGTCAAAAGTGTTCCCTCGCTCATGTTTTATATTTGCAATTATTTCAGAGTGGGCCACAATGATAAATGACACCGTTTACAGCCCGGAAGCATAGAAACAACGTTAAACCTTCACTCATATTCTAGCGTAACCTGTTCTCTTCTGAGCGACACAAGTGCTCTCCCATCCCAAATGAAATTAAAAAATCGGTTCAATTCTACAGCTACTACTAATCTTAGTTTAAAAAGGTGTTGACAAAAGCAAGCACACAACTCTTTTACTCACATTTACAAAACTGGTCAAAAACAAAAGAATAGCG